AAAAATTAAAATTAAAAAAAAAAAAAAAGAATCAGACTCCTATTTGGAGAAGGGGGAACCCTCCTACACTGTTGATGGGAATGCAAGCTGGTGCAGCCACTCTGGAAAACAGCATGGAGGTTCCTCAAAAAGTTGAAAATAGAGCTACCCTATGACCCAACAATTGCACTACTGGGTATTCACCGTAAAGATACAAATATAGTGATCTGAAGGGGCACGTGCACCCGAATGTTTATAGCAGCAATGTCCACAATAGGTAAACTATGGAAAGAACCTAGATGTCTATCAACAGATGAATGGATAAGAAGAGGTGGTATATATATACAATGGAATACTATGCAGCCATTAAAAGAAATGAAATCTTGCCATTTGCAATGACGTGGATGGAACTAGAGGGTATTATGCTTAGCGAAATAAGTCAATCAGAGAAAGACAACTATTATATGATCTCCCTGATATGAGGAAGTGGAGATGCAACGTGAGGGGTTTGGGGGGTAGGAAAAGGATAAATGAAAGAAGATGGGATCGGGAGGGAAACAAACCATAAGAGACTCTTAATCTCACAAAACAAACTGAGGGTGATGGCAGGGGGAGGGGTGTATGGAGAGGGTGGTGGGGTTATGAACATTGGGGAGGGTATGTGCTATGGTGAGTGCTGTGAAGTGTGTAAACCTGGCGATTCACAACCTGTACCCCTGGTCTAAAAATATATGTGTATAAAAAAATAAAAAAAATTAAAAATAAAAACGAATCAGGCTCCTAACTATAGAAAACAAACTGATGGTTACCAGAGGGTGGGTGATGGGTGAAATAGGTGAAGGGGATTAAGGAATCCCCTTACAAGTGAATACTTGTTGTGGTGACTGCAGGGTGATGTATAGAATTGTTGGATCACTGTTTTACATCAGAAATTAATATAACACTATTTTAGCCACCTGAAATTAAAATAGAAATTTTTAAAAAGATACTGTTTAGGAAATTAAAAGGCAAGCCACACCGTGGAGAAAATACTTAACAGAACATACATCTCACAAGGATTTGTATATAGAACATATAAAGAATTCTTACCACTCAATAAGAAGAAGAGAAGCAACACAACAAAAATGGGCAACAGATTTGAATAGACCTTCATCAAAGCAAATACACAGGTGGAAAGTCAACCCATGAAAAGATGTTTAACATCATTAATCATTAGGAACATTCACATTAAAATCACAATGAGATAACACCATATGCACTCTAGAATAGTTGACATTAACAAGACTGACCTTATGAAGTGTTGGTGATAATATGAAACCATTGGAACTTTCATACAAGGAAAGAACATAAAATGGCACAATCCCCTTGTAAAACAGTTTGACAGTTTTTTAAAGAGTTAAAGATACACCTACGATATGACCTAGCCATTCCACCCCAAAGTTTTTACCTGAGAGAAATCATATGAACAAAGGTAGGGGGTAGAGGGAACCCAAAAAAGATACTCTTAACCATAGAGAACACATAGTTACCAGAGAGGAGGTGGGAAGGTGGATGGGTGAAATAAGTGAAGGAGATTAAGAGTACACTTACCTTGATGAGCACTGAGTAATACATGGAATTGCTGGATCACTATATTGTACACCTGAAACTAATATAACAGTGCATGTTAACTATACTGGAATTAAAATTTAAAAAATAAAGTTAAAATGATATATCCAAGACTTATTTACAAATGTTCATGGGGACTATTTGTACTATAAAAAATCTGGGAACCACTCAAGTGTCTACCAGCAGGTGAACAGATAAACGTCATGTGTCCATACTGTGGAAGTCTTCTCAGTCATAAAAAGAAATGCACTAGTGCTCACTTGGGCCCCACATATACTAAAGTTGGAACAATACAGAGAGGATTAGCATGGCCCCTGTGCAAAGATGACACACAAATTCATGAAGTGTTCCATATTTTTGAGAGAGCATGGCACACACGTGCATGGGAGAGACAGAGGAATGGGTTAAAATAAAACATGAACTTGGAAAATATAGAAAAATAAGCTAAAAAAAGAAATGAACTAGTGATACACATGACAACATGAATTTCAATATAATTATGCTGAGTGAAAAGGCAAGGTAGGGTACACAATAGTAGGATTCCATTAAATTCTAGAAAATGGAAACATTTATAGTGACAGTGGATTGGTAGTTGACTGGGGGTAGGGGATGGGAAGGAATTATAAAGGGGGTGATAGATGTTCATTATCTTGACGTGGTGTTGATTTCAACTGTATATATCAAAACATCAAATTATATGCTTAAAGTAAGTGCAATTTTTGTATGTCAGTTGTACCTTAATAAAACTGAGAAGAAAACAAAAAATAATGGAAGTATCAGAGTGGAGAAATAGAGGATAAAAGCTAAATTCTTGGGATATACCTTGTTCTATAGGTTTGACTTTGGACTCATGTCAATATTTTATATGGTTATAAAACAAAATTAAAGTTTTTGAAATCTCAAAATCATTAAAACAACAACAATAATAAAAGAATGTAACTGTATATCCAGGCATAAAAAGCAACTATTTGAAGATCAAAAATAAATAAAACAACTGAAAAACAGTCTTGTTTTCAATATCCATATTGTTGTTAGTATTGGTAATGTATTCTGAGACTGTTGGACAAACATATAGAATATATAAAACATAGAATATAGAATATATATAGGACATATAGAACATATAGAATATAGAATAAAGAAAACGAGTAAATACAATGGTGTCATTGAGACATTTTTGGCAGAGGAGAAATGAGAGTTATAAGTAAGATATATGAGGTTTAGTAAAAGCCCCGTAGTTCTCAGTAGAAACTCATGACAAGGTTTACCATTTAAATACATATTTTCTAGTTGTGAATGTTGGAAAAGCTAAAACAAAGTGATTTACTAGTAATGAACACCTGCATATTTCAATTTATGGTCTCAAATACTCTTTCCTCCTGAAAGGAACTGGGGGTCCTCAGAGAAATTGTTGATTAGAAGTCTGGGGAAGGAAGTGTACAAACAAGTCTGTAATATCCTGTTATATGAAAAAGAGGAATTTTCAAAGATTACTAGGTCTTGGAGGCCAACTTGAAGTTGCTTATTTGAGGATCAATAGAGGGATATGAACTGGAATGGACTGATTCACCATCAAGTATATTGAAATCTATGAGTTCATATTAATGCAAAATTAAGAAAACAAATTCTTACATCACTCTTGGAGTATGCAAACTGGTAAATAAAAGGGAAGAATCAAACATTTATTTTGCCTTTCCTATACATGTGGATTACTAAATGTCGATGTGGGGAAGTTTCTCTGTATGGAATTATCCCAGCCCTGCCAATAAATGGCAGGCAGAGCAACAGTAGAATTGCAATATCATGATTTTGCTATGCCTAAATGAAATATGGTCCTAGGTGATGATCACTAACAGCTGGTAACATAAAAAAAAAAGAGAGACAACTGGACAATATGAGCCTCCTGATGGAAAACCATACCACAATCTATGAAGCAGACTTTAGATCTTGTGGGATATAGTCTCCCATGAACACGTTCAGCCATTCTCTGGGTTAGTTGTATAGCTTAGCCATAGTTATTGGTCTGTGACAAAGTGAGGTGTGAGAAGGTAGTGAAAGGAGCTTGTATTGTCTGTTTTTTAACACTGAAGCTTCTGTATCGTCTTCAAGAATGGAGGTGGCGCTAAATGTCAACAAGGAAATCTGATCACTTTTGTAAGCTCAGAGGGTTCAGGGAAATTTGGGAACTTAAGATCTTCAAGTGCTTCAATCCAGATGTCTCCATCTCATATCTCAGGGTCTCCTTCTCTCCCAACTAGGGCCCTGACCTTGGCATGGCAGAACTACCCAGGCTGAATGAACAACCACTTCTGGAGGTCTGCTCCTCCTCTGATGAAGTCCTAGCCTTGGTCCTCAGCTTTATTTAACCTTTAAGAGAGTCCATTTATATGCTGCCAGTGAAACCTCTGACTTTTACATCTGTCCTTTAATGTCTGATTTATCAACCTCAGCCTTTCATTATGCTTTCCCCAAATCATCAATTCCTCCCAGCTACATTCAATTTCATTTTCCTTATAATTACGATTAACTGCTTTCACAGATATGTAGTATGGAAAAGATGTCCCAGGGAGCATTAATTTCTTACAGGTTTTCCAAAAAAATTCTCTCCAATTTTTATCCATGAATTCCCAAGAATATCTGTTTTATCTAAGAACTTAAGAGACTGCCAGTGAAACTGAAGCTGTGACTAAATTGGGCTCTCCCTCTATTGAAAAATTGACAAAGCCATGTTGTCTGTCCTACATGTATAGGTAAAATATAGTTGTCCAGACTGCATTAAAAACTTTTTTTAAAATTTATTTTTTATTATTTTATTTTATTTTTTAATCCAAATTCAATTAACATGTATTTTTGGTTTCAGAGGTAGAAGTCAGTGACTCATCAGTCTTATATAATACCCAGTGACTGCATTGAAAATCTTAAAGAAGAGTACTAACACACAGAATTTTTGTACAGGAAAGTGTTGGTTTATTTTGGCATAGAGTTATAACATAAGAAAATTTGGGGATTAAGAATTATAAAAGAATCCACTGGACAATTAAGAGAGACTATAAAAATCTGTAATGTAGAAATACTGCAATCAAACTTTAGCCCCTTGAGCTTGATGAGTTGGTGCCTCAAAATTAAGGAGAATTTGGGAGAATTGGTCAATACAACAATTGGTATGTTGTAAGAAAATTCACACTTGGATGAAAGGGAGAGGTCCACAAGTAGAATTTGGACTGAGGCCAGAATATGCTCATAGTGTCAGTGGGACACTGATGGGCTCATTAGAATAATGAGACCAAACTCAGTTGAGCAACATTAACCCCATTTCATGTGTCCTAAAGGTCAGCACAAAAAGGGTTCTCACAAAAAGAGTCTATATCTGGGGGGCAGAGGTAAGCAGAGATGGTAGTCAGAGGGCAGGGAGCTCAACAGCAAGAGGAGGCACAGCACATGGGGCGGGGGCAGGTGGAGATGACACAGGTGGGGCGATAGCAGGTGGTGTGGCCGGAGACCTGGCCACAGACTGGGCGCAGGCAGCAGGAGGGGCAGCAGCAGGAGGGGCGGCAGCAGCTGGAGCCACAGCAGCTGGAGCCACAGGAGGAGGGGAGGCAGCAGCTAGTGCCACAGCAGCTGGAGCCACCGCAGTTGGATCCACAGCAGGAGGGGCGGCAGCAGCTGGAAATGCAGCAGCTAGGCCTACAGCAGCTGGAGCCACAGGAGGAGGGGAGGCAGCAGCTAGTGCCACAGCAGCTGGAGCCACCGCAGTTGGATCCACAGCAGGAGGGGCGGCAGCAGCTGGAAATGCAGCAGCTAGGCCTGCAGCAGCTGGAGTGACAGCAGCTGGAACCACAGCAGGAGGGCTGGCAGCAGCTGGACACATAGCAGGTGGGGCGGCAGCAGGTGGTCTGGCAGCAGGTGGGGCGGCAGCAGCTAGAGATGCAGCAGCTAGGCCTGCAGCAGCTGGAGCCACAGCAGCTGGAACCACAGCAGGAGGGCTGGCAGCAGCTGGACACACAGCAGCTGGGGCGGCAGCAGGTGGTCTGGCAGCAGCTGGGGTGGCAGCAGGTCTCCTGGCCTGAGCTCTTTGAGCAGACGGAGCCACAACAGGAGTTGACCATGGTGTCAGTGGGAGGAGTGGGGTTCCACAAGTGGGTATAAGTGGGTTTCCACAAGAGTGGTTTCTTGAGTTTGAAAGTCTCCTCACCTCTGTCCCCTTTTATACTCTGCTGAGTAGCTGATGTTATCACAAAGAGCATTCTTGTTTTTCCTACCAGGAAGCAATTAGTGTTATAAGTTAATAATTATTATTTATTAGGTCAAATATGCCGATATCTGAGAAAAGCATCATTTCCCTTTTTCTGCAGCATTGTGATTCACTGAACGACATTTGCATATTTTTCTGTATATTGTATCTTATATGTTGGAACTGTCATATAATATTCTATTATTGACTTTTTCCATGTGTCCCATTTTTGTGTATGACTCCAGTGGTCATATTTTAATTTAATTCAAGTATAGTTAACATACAGTGTTACATTAGTTTCTGGTGTATGATATAGTGATTCAGCAATTCCATACATCACCCAGTGCTCATTATAAGTGCACTCCTTAATTCCTATCACCTGTTTCACCTAGTGATGAGTCTCCTCCTATTTCCTTATCAGCACCCCACCTGACAGTAGCACTTTTCCACTTTGCCCCCCCCAAAAAAAGAGAGAGACTGTCGTTGTGATAATAATCCTCAAAATATGATCAAGGATTTAATTCGTCTTTTTCCATGATCATATTTTGAGGATGGCTTTTACAGTGCCAAGTCTCTCTCTCTCACTCTCTCTCTCTTTTGGTCAAAGTGGAAAAATGCATTCTAGTGTCAGGTGGAGTACTAATAAGGAAATAGGAGGAAAGACTCATCACTGGGGTTACTTGTCTACAAATAATGGGAGGACTGGACTGTATTTCCTGGTTGATTGGAGAGTCAGGGCATCACAGTGTCTAAACTCATTGTAATGACTCCTCCTCAAGATATAGCTTTGACTCATTCCTTTTTGATGAAAGAACAATTTTCAGAAATGAACTTTTTCCTTCAGGAATCTTCACATATAGTATGGTAAAGGTGAGCATGTTTGATCTTTCTTTTGATTGTCCAACGTATGTAATAGATTCTGCATTATAAAAGTTTTATTTAAAGCATCTTTTTCTTGTGTTCTTTCCATAATTCAAATTCAAGTCATTCTGCTTAAAGAAGATAAAAACAGATAAGCCTTGCTGTTTGTATGGGCACTTAACTATGATACATTGAAAGACAAAATTTGGGCAAATATTCCAAGCACTGAAGAATTAGTGTCAAAAACAAGCATTATGTATTTAAGGCTTATTTACCTACAGTGAGAAATGAGATATTACAGATACTGTTTATGAGTGCTTGCCATGTGCCAGATAGTCTTCTGAATGCTTTGTAATTACTTTTTTGATTTTTCTTTTTAAAGAATCCATGAAGTACTCATTATTCTCTAAGAGTTCACATAGAGATGTGTTAGGTTGCTGAGTCTTATGAAGTGTATACCTTTGATTTTGCTATTAAATCTTCTTAGAAAGTTCATTCTCCCACTCAAATCAGCAATTCCAGGGCGCCTGGGTGGCTCAGCGCGTTAAAGCCTCTGCCTTCAGCTCAGGTCATGGTCCCAGGGTCCTGGGATCGAGCCCCACATCAGACTCTGCTCAGCAGGGAGCCTGCTTCCCTTCCTCTCTCTGCCTGCCTCTCTGCCTACTTGTGATCTTTATCTGTCAAATAAATAAATAAAATCTTTTAAAAAAATCAACAATTCCTTATTCTCTCTTTAAGTTCCAGCCCAGAGTGCTTCATCCTCCATTATGTTTTCTTAGACATTTCTTCTTCTTTTCTAAACCTCATCTGTTCCTCCTTTATGTTTGATATCCCATTGTGGAGCACTCAGATTCTGCACATCTACTGTAACCTGAATGTGATTGTCTGTCTCCAGCTGGATGGAGACACCTGAGGTGAATGCTTGAAACTTTTTTCATCATGCATGGAACAGAGCACATCATCAGTGGCTTTTTTAAAAAAATAGTTTTTAATTTCTTGAGGAATCTCCACACTGCTCTCCAAAGAGGCTACACCAACTTGCATTCCCACCAACAGTGCAAGAGGGTTCCCCTTTCTCCACATCCCCTCCAACACACGTTGCTTCCGGTCCTGCTAATTTTGGCCATTCCAACTGGTGTAAGGTGATATCTCAATGTGGTTTCAATTTGAATCTCCCTGATGGCTAGTGATGATGAACATTTTTTTCATGTGTCTGATAGCCATTTGTATGTCTTCATTGGAGAAGTGTCTGTTCATATCCTCTGCCCATTTTTTGATATGATTATCTGTTCTGTATGTGTTGAGTCCGAGGAGTTCTTTATAGATCCTGGACATCAATCTTTTGTCTGTACTGTCATTTGCAAACATCTCCCATTCCGTGGGTTGCCTCCTTGTTTTCTTGACTGTTTCCCTTGCTGTGCAGAAGCCCTTGATTTTGATGAAGTCCCAAAAGTTTATTTTGGCTTTTGTTTCCTTTGCCTTTGGAGACATATCTTGAAAGAAGTCTCTGTGGCTGACATCGAAGAGATTACTGCCTATGTTCACCTCTAGGACTCTGATGGATTCCTGTCTCACGTTGAGGTCTTTTATCCATTTTGAGTTTATCTTTGTGTACGGTGTAAGAGAATGGTCGAGTTTCACCCCCCTACATACAGCTGCCCAGTTTTCCCAGCACCATTCATCAAAGAGAATGTCTTTCTTCCACTGTATATTCTTTCCTGTTCTGTCAAAGATTAACTGACCATAGAGTTGAGGGTCCACATCTGGGCTCTCCACTCTGTTCCACTAAACCCTCTTGCACTGTTGGTGGGAATGCAAGTTGGTGCAGCCTCTTTGGAGAGCAGTGTGGAGATTCCTCAAGAAATTAAAAATAGAACTTCCCTGTGACCCTGCAGTTGCACTGCTGGGTATTTACCCCAAAGATACAAATGTGGTGGAAGGAAGGGCCATCTGTACCCCAATGTTTATAGCAGCCATGGCCACAGTTGCCAAACTGTGGAAGGAGCCAAGATGCCCTTCAACGGACGAATGGATAAGGAAGATGTGGTCCGTATACACTATGGAGTGTTGTGCCTCCATCAGAAAGGATGAATGCCCAACTTTATAGCAACATGGACGGGACTGGAAGAGATTATGCTGAGTGAAATAAGTCGGGCAGAGAGAGTCAATTATCATATGGTTGCACTTATTTGTGGAGCATAACGAATGGCATGGAGGACATGGGGAGTTAGGAGAGGGGAGTTGGGGGAGATTGGAAGGGGAGGTGAACAGTGGGAGACTGTGGACTCTGAAAAACAATCTGAAGGGTTTGAAGGGGTGGGGGGGTGGGAGGTTGGGGGAGCCAGGTGGTGGGTATTGGGGAGGGCACGGATTGCATGGAGCGCTGGGTGTGGTGCAAGGACAGTGGATGCTGTTATGCTGAAAATAAATTTAAAAAAATGATTAAAACCCCCCCCCCAAAAAAAATAAAAAATCAAGCATATGGCATACAAGGTATTAGTAAATACAAATGCATACTTCTTTAAAAAAATAGTTTTTAGGAATCCCTTTTTAAAATTTAAATGTTGTTTTGCAATTATGGAAAGTATTTGTAGTTCCAAAATAAATTCACAAATTGAGGCATGTTTAAGGAAGTGTTGTTATTTCTATTCCTTCCTTCCCCCACAGAAAATCATTTTTATAATGTAAAGCTTTCCCTCCCATGGCTATTTTTAAAAAATTTTTTTAAACATTTTTTTAAATTTATTTTCAGCATAACAGTATTCATTGTTTTTGTACCACACCCAGCGCTCCATGCAATCCGTGCCCTCTCTAATACCCACCACCAGGTTCCCCCAACCTCCCACCCCCCCACCTCTTCAAACCCTTCAGATTGTTTTTCAGAGTCCATAGTCTCTCATTGTTCACCTCCCCTTCCAATTTCCCCCAACTCCCTTCTCCTAACTCCCCATGTCCTCCATGCTATTTGTTATGCTCCACAAATAAGTGCAACCATATGATAATTGACTCTCTCTGCCCGACTTATTTCACTCAGCATAATCTCTTCCAGTCCCGTCCATGTTGCTACAAAAGTTGGGCATTCATCCTTTCTGATGGAGGCACAACACTCCATAGTGTATACGGACCACATCTTCCTTATCCATTCGTCTGTTGAAGGGCATCTTGGTTCTTTCCACAGTTTGGCGACCGTGGCCATTGCTGCTATAAACATTGGGGTACAGATGGCCCTTCTTTTCACTACATCTGTATCTTTGGGGTAAATACCCAGTAGTGCAATTGCAGGATCATAGGGAAGTTCTATTTTTACTTTCTTGAGGAATCTCCACATTCTTCTCCAAAGAGGGGGCACCAACTTGCATTCCCACCAACAGTGTAAGAGGGCTCCTCTTTCTCCACATCCTCTCCAACACTTGTTGTTTCCTGTCCCAATAATGTTGGCCATTTTAACTGGGGTAAGGTTGTATCTCAATGTGGGTTTGATTTGAATCTCCCTGATGGCTGATGATGATGAACATTTTTTCATGTGTCTGCTAGCCATTTGATTGTCTTCTTTGGAGAAGTGTCTGTTCATGTCTTCTGCCTATTTTTTGACATGATTATCTGTTTTTTGGGTGTTGAGATTGAGGAGTTCTTTATAGATCTTGGATATCAGCCCTTTGTCTATATTGTCATTTGCAAAGATCTTCTCCCATTCTGTGGATTGCCTCTTTGTTTTGTTGACTGTTTCCTTTGCTGTGCAGAAGCTTTTGATCTTAATGAAGTCCCAAAAGTTCATTTTCCCTTTTGTTTCCTTTGCCTTTGGGGATGTGTCTTGAAAGAAGTTTCTGTGGCTGATGTCGAAGAAGTTACTGCCTATATTCTCCTCTAGGATTTTGATAGATTCCTGCCTCAGGTTGAGATCTTTCTTCCACTTTGAGTTTATCTTTGTGTATGGTGTGAGAGAATGGTCGAGTTTCATTCTTCTATATGTAGTCCAATTTTCCCAGCACCATTTATTGAAGGGACTTTTTTTTT